TGGTGCTGATCAAATATGCTCCTCTCTATTAATTTGGCAGAACTGCTTAAAAAGTTCACTAGTAAATTGTGTTCCATTATCTGTGAGTATAGTTTTAGGTAGTCCAAACCGGGAAAATAATATTTCTAATACATAAACCGAAAATGTTGACGTTATTATAGTTTTTGGTTTGAAAATTTCTAGCCATTTTGGGTAAGAGTCAATAATAAGCATATAATATAAACCATTAACTGGTCTAGCAAAATCAATCAGGGTACTTGTGGTAATCACCAAGGAGATGGTGAAACTTTTAGAGGTGATTTTGAAGTTTCTGCACAGTTTACGCAGTGTTTTACAAAATCTCAAATATTTACAGCTACATTTGGCCAATAAAGGTAACTTCTAGCTAAAGCTTTTATTCGATTTTGACCTGGATGTCCTTTGTGTAACTAATTTAAAATCCTTATTTTGTATTTAAATGGAACAACAATTCTTTCTTCAAATATTAGGCATCCTTTAACAATAGACAAAGAATCTCTTCTGGAAAAAAACTCAAAACATCCTGATCTTGGATTTCTTTTTCGTGGATGGACATCTATTCTGAATAAATTGGATGACCTCTTGAAGAGTTTTATCTTCATCTGTTTTAAGGTATATCGTACTAAAATTAAGGGGTGGGATTTCAATTGTTGCATCGAATATTTAACAGACTTCGGTTTTTTTCTGAGCAATGACGATTTCTTCGTTTTGTTCTAGATTACTGCTTATTAACCTAGACAAAATATCAGCACATCCAAATTCTGTTGTTCTCACATACTCGGTATTGAAGCTATACGCCTTTAAAGTTAGTGTCCAACGCTGAAGTCGATTAGCAACGTAGACTGGTATAACTATATTAGACTCATATATTGCAAGAAGTAGTTTGTGATCTGTTTGAATGGTGAATTTTCGACCATATATCATCTTATGGAATTTAGTCACAGCAAACATAGGCGCTAAACCTTTCTCTATCTGGCTATACTTTTTCTCAGTCTCTGTTAAAGTTCTTAAAGCATGACTAATTGCCTTAGTAGTACCATCTTCAAATTTATGTAAAATGCACGCCCACTACCAGAATTGCTTGCGTCTCCAGCTACGATGATTTCATGGCTAGGATCATAATGGGTTAAAAGTAAGTTAGACTGTAGAATATCTTTAAATTTATTAAAAGATTCTTGGCAATCTCTTAACCAAGTAAATTTTGAAACTTTTTTTAGAAGTTCATTTAAAGTTTGTCGAAGTTTATGCATATCTTTCATGAATTTCCCATAGTAGTTAATGGCCCCAAGAAATGATCGAAGGTTGGCAACTTTGGGTGGTATAGGTATGTTTCTGGAAGGATCCGGTCAAATTCCCTTTTCATTAAAAATATATCCCAAATATTTAATGTCTCTTACGCCAAATTCACATTTTTGGAGTTTAACATGAAATCCGAATTCTTTTATTCAATTAAGAACTTTCATTAAATTTTGGTAATGTTCTTCTTCCGTTTTTCCGGCAATCAAAATTTCATCTATGTAAGCTGCCGTTCCAGATAATCCGGAGAGCATAGTATCAATTGTCTGTTGGAATATACTAGGTGCCACTTTGATTCCAAAGGGCATTCGATTGTATTGAAACAATCCTTGATGAGAGAGTAAAACCAAATTTGGTAGATTTTCACACTTTTATTTTAAAAATATAAAAATTTTTAAAAACACTAACATGACATATGTTTCGAAGTGCAACTTCTTTTTCAAATGTGACTATTTACAATTCGGTATCCAATATATATACGAAATAATTTAACAAAACAAAGTACTTAAGAAAAACATCAATAACATTACAAAATAAACTATTTAAAGTAAATAAGGGCACTTAGGTAATTATAATATCAATCAGATAACAATAAGATAGCACATTACCGGGATTATCTCACAGAAAACTAGAAAAGAGATTTAATAAGGGTGAATTATTAATATCTAATTGATCATTTAGTAAGTTATCTGAATTTTTAAATCTATTTATTTCAAGTGTTTCTAAATGGTTTAATTAAAGGCTCTTATTTTCTATATGTAAAATTTCAAAGTTGTCTGTAAAAGAATGATTTTCAGCTAAAATATGATTTGAGTAAGTAGAATTATTTTTGTTTTTTGTATAACTATTATAATGTTCCGAATAGCGTTTTTTAAAAGTACGGCCTGTTTGACCAATATACAATTTTGGACAACTACCACAATTTAATTTATATACCCCCGATTTATTATTAGGATTAAAGTTGTACTTCGAAACATATGTCATGTTAGTGTTTTTAAAATTTTCTATATTTTTAAAATAAAAGTGTGAAATCTACCAAACTTGGTTTTACTCTTTCAAGATTAAATGGATTTTCATCAAGTAAAGGCCGAAACAATAAATAATCCTTGATGAGTATTTATTGTTAAATATTTTCTTGAATATTCATTAATTTCAATTTGTAAAAATGCATCAGAGAGATCTATAATGCTAAAAAATTTGCTATTATTTAATTTAGCAAGAAGCTCTTCAGTAGTTGGAAGTGGATTATAATGAGATTTTTTGGCCCTGCTTAGCCCTGTGGAATAATCTCCACATATTCTTACATCTCTATTGGGTTTCTTAGTGACTACAATAGGTGCTGCCCATTCTGAGTATGTTACAGGTGAAATTATGTTGAGATTCTCTAACCGTTGTAACTCATCTTCTACCTTGTTCAAAACTGCAAATGCAACTGGTCGTTTCGGACAAAAAACTGGTTCTGGATTTTCCTCTATGTAGAGGTTCTACTTGAACATTAGTACAGCGACCCAATTTATCTTGAAAAATTTCGGAAAATCTCGTTTTCAGTAATTCGTTATGTATAAAGAGTCCTTCTCTTCCTGAATTAACCCTATTTCATAATAAACTGAGTGGAACATCCCAAAATCCAAACATTGTAATCCAGTCAATGCCCAATAAATTTAAATTGATTGGAGTTAGTTACAAAACATTTTCCAATATATGACTTATGATTAAAGACTATATTGCACATTAATTCTGAGTTCAATTTAAGGATTTTACCAGAAGCATTTTTGGCTACATGATTTGTGGTAGAAGTGACAGGTTTTTCCCAACTTTGACCATGTTTCTGTTGAAATAAATGTTATATTTAATGCGGTATCTACTTGGAATGTTACTGGATTATTGTTTATAAAAACTTCCCAATATTTTCCGCTTTCAATTTGATTCACATCATATATTACTTTTGCCTCGGAATATGGCTTATTTTTGTTTAAATTGCAATTTTTCTTGGCGTAGCAATAACAAGGATCTTTAGGATGTTTTTTGTCACTCCGTATGTCATAATTGTTTGCTCCACCTTGTATGACCTTATCTGGGTTGTTCTTTGTCGGGTAAACTGTGTGCGCGTGTGTGTGCCTGTGTGTGTGCGTGTGTGTGCGCGCGCGCGCGTGTGTGTGTGTGTGTGTGTGTGTGTGCGAGTGTGTGTTTATGTGTGTGCGTGTGTGCGTGTGTGTGTGTGTGTGTGTGTGTGTGTGTGTGTGTGTGTGTGTGTGTGTGTGTGTGTGTGTATGTGTGTATGTGTGTATGTGTGTGCCTGTGTGTGTCTGTGTGTGTATGTGTGTGTATGTGTGTGTATGTGTGTGTCTTTGTGTGTCTGTGTGTATCTGTGTGTGTCTGTGTGTGTCTGTGTGTGTCTGTGTGTGTCTGTGTGTGTCTGTATCCACCATAACTCATGAACCGATGCACAGAAAAACACCAAATTTTAAACTTAATCTTTATTTTAGCGTCCAATGAACTGATTAGATTTTGGGCATAGTCTGAACATCTGGGGGGTACTTTATAGGTGGTCATTTTTATATTTTATGGAATATATTTACGTTTGGAGAAGAAAATTAAAATAAAAGTTACTTCTAATATTATTATCTATAATTTTTGATGCTTACAAAATTTTTCTAAAATGGTCCGTATTCGAGAAATTTTACAAAATGTAAAAAAAGTAATTTTTTATAAAAATTATTTAAATAAAAGTTGTTTGTGATATAATTCTCTATAATTTTTATATCTTACATAATTTCTCTAAAATGGACCGTATTCGAGATATTTGAGAAAATGTGTAAATTTCGTATTTTGAAGAAAACTCAAAAACGGATAAAGAAAAAAACATTCAATTTTAAACTTTTTATTTCGGCCTTACGTAAAAAGATTAGATTTTGGACAAAATCTGAACATCTGGGGGGTACTTTATGGGAGGCCGTTTTTATATTTTATAGAATATATCTGTCATTTATGTTTGGAGAAGAAAATTGTTTAAATAAAAGTTACTTCTAATATTATTATCTATAATTTTGCCCAGTGTCAAAATTTTCTGAAATGGTCCGTATTCGAGAAATTTGACAAAATGTGCAAAATTCTGATTTTTATGAAAATTGTTGAACTAAATGTTGTTTGCGATATCGATCTCTATAATTTTTGTGTATACATGATTTTTCTAAAATGAACCGTAATAGAAAAATTGTAGGAAAAGTGTTAAATTAAAATTTTTCAGTATTTAATATCTATAGAAAAATGTTTCGAGGTAAATGTATGTCGAAAATGTATATATTTAGTTTATCCTCTAAACATTTATAGAGGTGCTGCAATAGGTTGTACAAAATAACCGAAAAAAACCTATAATAACTAGATAGGAAAGTCATGTGTTGGACACATCAGATTTTTTTTGGTTGATTTTTGTTTGATACGGCATTGACATTGACGTAATTTTTAGCATTTTGAATCATCGCTATCATATTTAAGATCCTTTGGAACTCTACTGTTAGGTCTTCTAAGGAATGTCTTTTCTTGATCAACATTTGAATCGAATTTATTTAACAATTTGGTTCGAATATCAGTATCCTGGGTAGACTGAAGTCCACAAATAAAAATTAAATATTTAAATTGGTCAGAAGTCATCGAGTTTAATTTGAAATCTTCGCAATTTTTATTGACTACAAAGCTATAAAATCTTCTGAGTCATGTTTTGTTAATTGCGTGCACTGGTATTTGGTATAAAATGTAGAAGTTGCCTTTCCAAACATTTGTAATATTTTTCCAATGGATTCTACGAAGTTTAGATCTTTAGTATTCTTAGGTAAAATTAGATTGATGTACTGTTCGTGACAAGGAGTTTCTAATTTTCTTAAAAGAAGTCTTACTTTCGCATAATCAGACAGTTCTTTATCGTCCTCTAGGAAAACATTTTCATATATTTTGTGCTTAATTTCGAATGTTAGACCAGATTCAGGATCGCCATAAAATTCTGTTATACTGTATCCTAAACTTTCCATTCTAAATTCTTCTCCAACTTTAGTCACCGTTTTCGGGTTAGCTGAACCAAAGCTACTTGTCAATTGAGATAAGAATTCTTGCTGACTTTTTATAACAAACTCTTGTTGCTTCGCTGTTTGTTCTTGTTGAGCTTTAATGAAAGTTAGCAATGTTTTTTGAAACTCTTCCATGTTTTGGAGATTTACAAGCTATTTTTATCGTCGCTAATAACTGTTGTAGACGAGTGTCGAGTATTTAATAGTGCTAAAGAGACTTGAAAATAATGGATGCAAAATGCTATCAAAAATATAATTTTATTATTAAAAATGCGATAATATGTTCTAAGCATTTTTTAGGAAAAGATTTTTGCATTTAAGAAAAAATATTGAAATTACCGAATAATAAGTGGAAACTAAAATATGATATTGTAACTTTACCAAAATCTCCAAAGGCGAAGACATCTAATAACTGAAAACTTAAAAAACTTTCTTAAAATTTAAATAATTTAGCAAAAAAAGTGAATTTAAGGCTAAAAGTCTCTTTTTTTTAGATGTAAAATGTATTTTAAAATAGGAATTCTTAATAAAAATATCAAATACACCTTTAAAGTGCGAAAGCGCAAAATGCCAAAATAGTCAAATAAATATAGAAAACTTTAAATTTAGAAAACAAATCATAAATCTATTTTTCAAAATTAATTACAAAAAATCATAAGTGTTTTAGGTATTTTGTACTATATCCAAATAAAACTATTAAAAAGCCTTAATTGATTTGTTTATGACTGAAAAGTTTTTTAAATACACAAAAATATTTTACAATGTGAATAAATTAAAACCGAATTATGTATACATTTGTTTTTCTAATAAATAAATGAATTATGTATTTTTATTTTGCTTATTTAAATAATTAAATATAAAACATTTATAACGAATATTTCAGCAATTTTCAAAAAAAATACAGTGAAAAGCTATAGCGTCCCCATATATCATCAACACTTATCACGCAATGACGTCATGTGCGACTCGATTCAAAATTCGTATTCCAAGTGAACTTATCTGTTGGTCCTAGTATTATGTTGGTTTTCATAATAAATTTGACAATGTAGTATGAATCCTTTTCGCCTTCCTGTCTCACGTTTTGTTACCTTGCGATTGCTGTCATTTCTTTCGATCTGTACCAGAGATAAGGCAGATAAAGATAGGAAACGGCCATAAGAAGCCAATGCTTAAAAACGACCAGCGATATCAAACAACGCAGCGAGAAATTTAAGGTATTTTTTAGCGAGTGTATAATTTAAAATATTTTCGACTGTTTTAAACCATTTAAATTTTAGCGATGCAACTATGACGTCGCGGACGAAATATTTTAAACCAAAGCTAGAATTTTTGAACCAGTCGGAGGCATATGATTCAATAACGGTTGACACATTAGAGATTCTGATTTTGGCTGTTGTATGTTGTTTTGCTCTGTTTCATCTTTGAACATTTTGATATATTTGACGTTTTGTTGATTTTTATTGATTTTTGATAACTTCATACATATATTATGTGATTCATATTCATACAATAATTGGTTATAATGTTATAATACAAATATGTATGGTCACCATAAACAGTTGGACGATGTTATCTACCTAAAGGTTACTCTTGATTATGAAACAATAATTCAATTAAAATAAGGTTAAAGGATTACTTATCAGTTGTACATTTTTTGCAAACATAATTACGTAGTTTGCTTCAGATTCTGAATTTGCCAGTAAATATTTAAAAGCAATTAAACGTTCTTTGGCAGTTGATGAACTTTGAAAAGCCCAAAAAATCTACAGCAAATAATCGTTAGACAATCGCGTATCTGTTGGAGCTACGGAATAAATATGATGCCATGTTTATTGACAAGAAAAATACCAAAATAAAATAATAAACGACGTTTCAGATTGCAATGTACCTATTAAAAACACTTCAATTTTTACTTAAAATCGGTATCACTCATCTTCCTTCATCTGATTTAACAAGCATTAAAAGAAAATACGATCGAAATCAGAATTATACCTAATTAAAAATTTTGTCCTATGACAGCTGGTTATATTTTTAAACCACCCTATTTTTGCCATCTATTAATTCATGACGTCACTTTAAATATGGTTTAAAAAATATTTTAAACCAATGTGGTGGCTAAAAAACAGCTCTAAAAACCTGATAGTAAAGGTTGTATAAATATTGACTTCACTCTCATGTTCTTGTAAATAAACTTAAACAATGTAATTACGCTAAATTATTTATTAAAAAGAATACTACACTTAGAGTCTATTATCGATTAATTTTTGTAAATCTATATTCATGACAAATATTTTTTTAATTTTTAATTATTTGTAACATTGCATTTTTGTTTTCATTTTCCAAACGAGTGGTCAATGGTATCTTATTTAAAAATGATGAGTGCAAATTCAATAATGGGAATTCAGATATTTTTGTTCCTATATTAAATCTTCTTTTTAAGGTTTTGAAGCCATTTTCTTGTTCTAAAACAATAAATAATACATTAATACCTACTTTGTGACAAAAGTTGATTACTATTTGTGCTACTTACATAGATCTTACCTACTTTGGTTAATTAAAAAACGCCACATTGTTGTTGTTAAATTTGTTCATGTGGCATGTGTTACTTATGCAATACGTTCTCCGACTTATTGTAATATTGCAAAATTTAATTATTGTCCTCAAATTTCACACAAAAACAGCCACAACTATTTCGCTTAGTTCATCTAGAGGATAACACAATCATTAACTCAAAATTTAAATTCAGGATTCTTCGATAAAGATTAAACTGACATTTATATTTACAAACTGTCTGCCACTGTCCACGTCTACTATATGTCTCAGTGTTGCCAACTGTATGATTTAAATCCTATTTATACGATTTTTTAACTCTCTGTACGATGTACGATTGCATCAGTGAGATCGTACGTAAAAATACGATCTCCACTTTTTTAGTAGGTTTATTTAAATATCTACAACTTCAGAACATAAAACAATAAAGATTGAGAACTACTTGCAAAGATTCATAGGCCGTTCGTAATTTCTGAAGGCAGTCATTTTCTTTCTGACTTATCGTGATTTTAACCATGGTGATTTTGTACACCGACTCTCACGGCATAAGAAAAGCTTGTATGCAAAATTTCAATCACTTCAAGTGACAGTCATTGATTACTTTAAATGTGTTAATTTAAAGTTTCATGTATTTTCTTCAGTTTTTTTTTTTTTTTTCGTTGTTAACATTTTTATAAATAGATAAATAAATTAGCATGCCAATTTTTTTTGAATTTTTTTATTCCATTTAAGTTATATTATGCTATGCATGTATCTATTGAACAATTTTTTTTGTCGAAATACCATTTTTCTACTTCACGATCTCTAAAAAAAATATTGGGCAACACGTCTCTCTACAAGCTCTCTACAAACGACGTAGACCTGTAGTTAACATCTGAGAAGCTAGGTGACGCCATTGTTGCTGCGGTCGTTGCGTTTCCAATCTTTATGTCCCTAATCTCTGATCTGTACGGCAATCACATATCAAAGTATGTGACGGCAATAGACGCAAATGACATATCATCACATACTTTGATTACTATATGAGGCAAGAGAGAGGTCCGACACGCCCAACATAGGGCGCGGCCATTTTGATTCCTGTGACACAGTTTACAGCTAAAGAATCAGATCGCTCACTCTGCGTCGGCACTTTGGATCTCAATGTTTCAGTTGATACACTGTGCAACTCGGATAATACAATATATGACAACCGCCTATAATAAAACAGCAGTCTTCTGCGTATCCTGAATTTGTATCCCTGGAGTGGATGTTATTTTGGAACTTTCAACTGGTCCGAGTGAGCTGATTCTTTAGCAATAAACTGTGACTTCAAAAATAATATTCACTGACACTGACAGCAGCAAGCAAAATATCAGGTGCGTTTTAATCATCCGCTTCTGCTTCCGGAATTGTCGGTTTAGTCGTTTTAACCTGTCAGATTAAAACAAGAAAACCGACAATTTCGAAGCAGAAGCGGATGATTAAAACGCCTCTATTAAAAATATTGCGCCAAGATGTAGGCAACACGTAATAAGGGTTCAAAATGGCGGAGTTTTCTATCTTCTTTTAAAAGGCACTCAGAAAGCTGCGCAGTGCGACCATTCTCCGTATAGTAAAAGAAAATCAAAGTATGTGCATAATATTGATGAATTTGAAATTTACCGTCTTCCCCTGACTAAAAACAGATATTGATAAAATATTCACTAGAACAATGATACAGTAGTTACCTCGAACCCGAATTCCTGCGAGGCTTTAAAACGTTCACGAAATTAAAACGTGTTAAAATTTTAATGTCCCATTCGAATGAATTCCGGTTTCCGCGATCATCCCCCGTGTCCCGGATGCAGATTAACCTCTAAAACGTCCATCATTTAGGCCCCCGATCCAATCATGACGTTGTTCCTAAATATGGTTACTATGTTGTTGTATGTCTGGCGGCGGATTATGCATGAATAGTTAACGACATGTGTGAATAGTTTCTATGAATGTTTGATCCCTGACAGAGAATTAGAACAAGGGTTTGTATCCTCGCGAGGATCTTAATAAGTTTCGGCTGATTGCGAACAGACAATAACGATTCGATGTATTCGGAACAACGTGGATACAGGTTTGGATATTAGTTTGCATTGTTGGAGATTTCTATAGTTTGTGACGGGATCGGATGAATAAGAGTTATACGTACCAGTAACACAATCATTTGAAGTTGTTTGCCAGCATGTCGATCCTTGTTGGCTTCCAGATTAGTTTGGTTTTCTGACTTTATACACGAATATATTACGACTGAAATAAATATTACACAATATCATTATCTCCAATAATTCAAAATCTCATATATACGGGATGATACTAGATGAAAATACCTCTGCAAGAGGCAGTTTATACAAAAATAAAAAGTGTGTAAAATATAAAATATTTATTAAAAAATTTGACTGAGCACTTTTGTCCTTATAAAGCCATCATCATAGCCATTTTAAAAGTTGTTGTATCTATATAATAACACTTACTTCTCATAAAAACATTTTACAAAACTTAATTTTAACTAATGATGAAGAAGTTAAATTATTACTATTATAATAACAAGAACTCTCAAATGTGGTAATATTATTCAAATGACTAAATAAACCCAAAATTAATACCACATGA